CAAAGCCTGTAATGACCAGGCTCTGCATGCAGCTAGATTTGCCTACAGCTGTTGATGCTGTTAAGTACCAATATTAATAATTTTTCAATCCATAGGGAAAAGAGTTACCTAGCTGGTTTTGTACTCAAAATCCAATCCAAATTTGTATAAAATAGGCACATGCTTAATACCAGGATTCTGAAGAATGACTAGAAAACTACTGTAAGCCAGAGGGCAAGTACCCCAGGAAGGAGAAACTAAAGATCCAAACTCTGGTTAAGTTCAAGTCCCTGCCCTCAGGGTAGACTTTATTAAAAGGCAAGATTGAAAAAAAAAAAAAAAAATCTCCAAAAAACTCCCCCAAAACCCAACAAACCAAGAGCAAAGCAAGTTAGAATAGCTGAAATAACTCAGAACACTATCAAATGCCTAACTGCTCTGTAGTAACCATTTGCACATGAGTTCTCTGCCCCTTGGTAAATGCAAAGTAATTAGAAATAGCTTCTCCTGAACTGATCCAAAACAGGCACTGCTAAAGTAGCTTCCTTCTTACTTTTATGGCTACATCTGAAATCATGACAGGCAAAATTTTAGCTCCATTTTACATTTCTGACCTACAGAATTTAAGGAACACGTCATACCTTGTCACAGTTACCTGGGAGCACAGCATCACAACCGCGGGACGCAGCAAACCATGTATCACAGTTACTTTCAGAGGCAGCTACTGCCTTAGAATCCAAGCTTCAAACACTGGCCCACCTGCGGTGCAGACGGGCCCCCTACTTACAGGGAAAGCACACAATTTTGGCTATAAGTTATTCTTAAAACTCTCCAGACTGCTGAATAGCACTTTCTATGTCAGTTGTGCCAGTATTCTTCAAAGTCCACGCTGTTCAGCTTTAGATGTGTGGATATTAAATATGTGCTCTTAACAGAAGCATATAATTTATTTGCTAGACCACCATGGAAGTTAATTTTTACAGAAGTTTTTTTTCAATTTCCATCACAGTTACCCAAATGCAGATACTTTATATTAAGATCCTAAATCAATATTTAAGGTCAGTTCTTTAGGAAATCCTACACCAACAGAACCTCCGCATTTGCGTGGAACGCTAAGTTGACATGATATTTAGGATCATGCAGCACCTATGGCAATGAATACATTACATTTTGGTGTCTGAGCAAGAAAGAAGTCCTGCTTTGGGCATTCAGAATTGAACATTTTGGGCTTTGCCTTTTTACAAAAAGAATGTTACGGTGACGCTGGTAATTAGAAGAGATGCTTTGATTCCAATAAATACCCAGTATTTTTAATTAAGTGCACTAAAATGCCATCTCATTTGATAGCAATGCGATTTGGTTCTTGGTGTAGGTGCACAAGTCGCACCCTTTAATGTTTAGGGGCTATTACCCTGACTGCATGCATAAATTTAGACAAATTTAGACAAGAAACTTGTATCATCATCACAGATACCTCACATGGCAACATCACAGCTGCCTCCCACCTCAATCCCCTGTTCTATCACGACACGCCAGCATTGTATGTATGCCCCCAGGACGTACAGTTAGTAACCAAGATACAGCAGTGCGTTACAGGCTCATGCTGCAGTTATAGAATCATAGAATCATTTAGGTTGGAAAAGACCTTCAAGATCATCGAGTCCAACCATCATCTGTGCCCACTAAACCATGTTATGGAGTACCCCGTCTACGCGCTTTTTGAATACCTCCGGGGATGGTGACTCACCTGCTTCCCTGGGCAGCCTATGTCCAATGTGTGACAACCCTCTCAGTAAAGACATTTTTCCTAATATCTAACCTAAATCTCCCTTGCCGCAACTTGAGGCCATTATGATTTAACTATGAGCTGCCCGGGCTCAAATCTGATTAAAACCAGCACTTTTGAAAGCACAGCAGTTTCTCATCCTTTTTCCCTTAAAATCAAGGGGATGAATGTAATTAACCAACTAACAGACAAGGACGTCACCATAACAAAATCAGTGCCCTCTCCGAGTAAGCAGTCCCCTGAGAAGCGCCGTTCCTCCTTTCTGCACAGTTTTCCCAGCCTTCCACCCAGCACTTAGGTCTCATTTCCCCCCCGAACTCCACCATTTCCCCCCCCG